TACCATCCTTAATTGACGTTTCATCGACTAACGTTCTTAATCTCTTTACATTTTCTTTTTCTTTATTATCTTTAACAAATATAATGTCTTTCTTGTCGATATGAATTATTCGCAATGATATAAAAACCTTAAGAACAATAATTAATTTGATTATTAACGGTTATTAACGTAGTCACGTGACTATCGCAATTTGAATTTCATTCAAAATGACTGTCAAAAAGAAAAGTAATCCTTGATACTTGGATTTTTCTTTTTCTTTTTCCTTACGTTAAATATATACTGTAAAAAAGTAGAAAAAAACACACACAAAAATACTGTATAAAATAAGGAAAATATTATTATTGTACAAACCTGTCGATAAAACCATCTCCGTCGCCGTCGCATGCTTGAAAAAGCTTCCTAACGCGTTCCTCGTCGCAGATGGAGCCCGTCTCGCTCTCAGCATCAGCGGTTTGCGACATCCTCTCACACTAACCCCTCCTCCTCCTCCTCCCTCCTAGCCATCCCGATTACCAAGCATCACAAATCCTCTCGCCCCCCGTTTGACAACTTCCTCCCTTTTACGCCTCATCCGTGTTTACTCGATATCGATCTTTTTAAAGTATCGAAAGATTCGAAACAAATCGAAACAACGATTACGCGCGTTATTTTCAACACGACGCATAAAACCCCGATGGAAACCAGATGCAATATGATATTTCTTTGCTTCTTACCTTACCTTCCTTCTTTTCTTGTTTTATTTATTTATTTATTTATTTATTTAATTTGTTTTGTTTATTATCGTTTTATTTCTTTTAAACAAGTTCTCTTTTGATCAATAATACGAATGAGTTGATGTAATCGCGCCAATATCAAATTTCAATTACACGATCGTTTTTTGTTTTGTTTTGTTCGTTCGATTAATTTGAAGAAAAAAAAACAAAACCGCGGGATTTTTATAACTACGTTGATAAAAAGAACAATTTATATTTATATTTCTTTTTCTTTTTATTTTTCTTCTTCTTCTTCTTATTCTTATTCTTGCGAGTGAGAAAGAGAGAGAAAGGAAAAAGAGAAAGAGAAGTACCAAGAGTTATTCTTAGACGGTGAAATTGTCTCTCTTTCTTTATTTCTTTCTTTCTTTCTTTCTTTATTACTCCCTCGTGCGCGTCGTATTCTGGCTAAATCTAAAAGGGTGAGGGTAGAAAATTCGAGGGAGTCCAATCGTTTTTCTATATTATTCTAATCGTTCCTCTTTTTTGTTTTTATAATAATCTGTGTTTCTTCTTTATCTTTCTCTTTCTTTCTTTCCCTATATATATATATATATATATATCTCTCTCTCTCTGTCTCTCTTTCTTTCTTTCTCTTTCAGTTACACTCCAGTATTTTTTCTTTTTTCTTTTTTTTTTCCTTTTCTTTTTCTTATAATTTAATAAAACCCATCAAAATATTCCATTTTCACTTATTTAATAATTCGAAAGGTTGAAAGATAATAACAAGAAAAAAAAAACGTTAAAATCTTTTCTTCGCTTAACCGTTCGATTCGCGCAAGCAAGTGAAAAATTCACTCTGCTACCCACCGGTTATCGTTTCCAGTGTCACCGAGTCACTAACCCTAACCTCAAAACTGTATTCGAGGTTCACCCTCCCTCGCGAGTCAGCGACGGCAATAAAAACTATCGATTGAGCTCGCCGCTCTAAAAACCAACTCGACATTTAACGCCATCTTGCTATCTCAAGCGCGCCCGTAATATATCGACAGGATGGCGCTGCTTACGTAGTACATTGGCGGGATATTCAAAATTTTGTAAAGATATCCCCTTTAAATGTTATATTTTGTGTTATAAATATTACAGATTTTGATTATTATCCTTAATTTATGTTAATTATTTGACCTGCAAATAAAATTAAGTTATTTGTTTTTTTTGTTTTTTTTGTAATTAGTTGTATACACATATGTAATATAATATCGTATAGTATATAAATATATACTGTGTATGATATTTAGTATAACAAATATATTTTAATGCGTTAACTAATTAGATATACTGGATAAATAATTAGTTATGGTATATTATTCTATAGACGTGAATTTTTCTTTAACTATGGACATAAGTTTTTTTAATTTCGTAGGATCGGGACTGTAAGCCCACATGATACACCGCGTGTGTTCTTTAGTCGGTAAACTTTTAAGATCTCCATCAATTTGAAACCAAAAATTATCTTCTTCCTCTTTCATACGATCTACTAGTGCCCGAAGAAACTTATTTCTTTTTCTATCCCACGTTAAATCGGATTCCGGGATTTTGACCGTCCTCAATTTCTTATAATCTCCATCTACTTCCTCGTATGCCCTGTACGCCCAAATAAAATATAATAAATGATTCAATTATATTTACAATTTTATGATAAAACGCTTACAACTTACTTGAAAAATTCTTTATCCTCGATATCATATTTTTCAGCGAGAGGTTCAAAAGCACGAATAATGTCGATCGATAAATAATTAAAATTATCTTTCGATCTACCATTTAAATTATAATCGGTAATCCAATCCTCAAAAATCTGAACAGCTTCCTTCATATTCTTAATTTTATTAATATCCTTCGTACAGGATATTACCCTTTCGGCTCTTTTAACCAAACCAACAATTGCATGATACTGATAACTCAAATCACGTCCTTCAAGTGATTGAATACTCTGCAAAGCTTTGTCCTTATCTTTAAAACTAAGTCCACCATCTTCCTTTTTCTCTTGTTCAGCGTCAACAGATAACTTGGCAACTTTTTTATCGGGCTCGTTAGAATCACTTTCGCTACTCGATGTGTCCTTGTCATGGCTTCTCTTCTGCGTCTTTTTCTTCATGATTTCTTCTTCCTCTATTTCCATATCTACATCATCCATAACACCAATTTTGGATTCCACGTCTGTGATCAATTTTTTCAACTTAGTCGGATCCGGACTGTATCCTAACATAATGCATCGTACATGTTCCTTCGTTGGAAGTCCTCTTAAATCACCAACATCTGTCTCATACCATTGAATATTTTTGTCTCTAATATTAGCTATGATCTCTTTCAATCTACGATTTCTCTCGATGTCCCATGTTATTCCATTATTTTGTAATTTTGATGTACGTAAACTTTTGTAATCTCCTTTTTCCTTTTTGTATGCTCTATGATAATGAAAAATAGAAATAGAAAATAATAAATATATGATAAATGAATTAAAATATATTTCTTGGGTTGTCCGGAATATGAAATAATTTGTTTTTATTGTATTTAATTTTTATAAAAAAATTGTAGCATTATTTTGTATAAAATAATACTAAGATTTTAGATAAAAATAATACTATATAAAAATAAAAAAATTTATATATAAAAAAAAATACTAAAAATAATACTACAAATTTTATATAAAATAATACTACATATATTCAATATAATAATTTTGTATAAATATAATAATATTATTATTATAATATTATTATATATATACATAATATACGGTCGCGAATAATCATTAATTCAAATATAATTAAAATAATTAATATATATATATATATTTATAATTCGACAGGAATTTGTTCCGAAACAACCCAATATAATTAATTAATTATCATTTTTTCACATAAGGTAAATGAAAAACCTTACAAGTAAAATTCATCGTCGATTACATCGTATCTTTTAGCAAGTGATCTATAAGCTTGTATCGTATCGATCGATAAATATGCAAGATTTTCCTTTCCACGATTATTTTCTTTATAATCGATTAACCAATCTTCAAATATTTTCAATGCATCCCGTAAATTGGATAATTTATCTTCGTCCTTCGTTATTTGTAATGTTCTTTTAACACGACTAACGAAGCTGGTTATAACATGATATTGATAGCTTATGTCACGACCATCGAGAAATTTCAACGTATCCAAAGCTTTTTGTTTATCCTTGAAACCCATTGATCCTTCTTCTATTTCGGAAGATTTCGTTTTAGCCATGACGATTATTTATTTCAATTCGTTCTTTTACTGAAACGATATATTTTTCTTTCATTTAATATTATTAAATGTGTGTGTGTGTGTATGTGTGTTACGTTAGAAAAAGATTCACGTGTTTAACTGTATCATCTTTAGAAATAATACAGTGAGCCAAAAAATGACTCATTTTAAGTACTTGAAATACTAATTTTCATATAAATTTATGAATCTTGCAAAATCGATTACAATGTGTACGTAAATATGTATTATACAGAGTGAACTAAGACAAACTATACCTCGTTTCATAGTATAACGTACAAAATTATTATAAAGAAACTAAATTCTTAAAAAAAAAAAAAAAAAACAACAAAAAATTAAAAATACATTTCCATTCTCTGTAAAATCCAAAAATAAGATATATTTTGAAATATAATACGAATCATATTCTAAAACACATATAAGATATTTGATCGATAATAATAATGAAAATAATTGTAATAAAAGTTGTGACATAAGAAATGTAAAATATATGTAAACATTATTTACAGTTAAATGAAAAGTATTATATTATCCTTCTCCGTTTTTTTTTTTTTTTTTTTTGTAAACATATATATTTACATTACCGAAAAAGTTCTACAATTACAAGAGATAGCAGTAAACTTACCAAGTTTACGATTAACAATTAAATACACTGTAATAATAGTCAAATAAAATAAATCAATTTATTGATAAAATTCTGAAGATGATATATCACTCTAACGAATTCCACTATCAGAATGTACGATTCCACGCATTTTGTTTTCGAAGTGACAGTTGCGAACCCATCACTGTAAAGCTTAAGTCACCGACTATAGTTGCCACTGTGTTCTCATGCGGGTGGGGAAACATAGCTATGACGTTTCTATATAAACCTAGTGCGCGAGAGCAAGACGCAAATATAAACATGTCCTGAGGTGTGTCAGAGCCCAAAATATACACTCGACCTCCGTACGATGATATGTCGTGGAACTTACGTCATATTAAGCAATGACCGCGAGATCTTAACTTTGAAAAAAAAAAAAAAACATATACCCGATCTGACCTCCTCTTCTTTGGTAAAATCATCATCATTATCGATAATTATTTCATTTCATTAGAATTATTCAAATATAATTACAATTGGTGTTTTTGAATAATAAAGCCTGCTAAATTGAATTTATTATATTATATCCTATTTACAGAATAAATTACAATAAATCGTATATATATATATAATCAAATTTGTAAAAAATAAGAAAGTAAGAAATGAAAATTTTTCTTTTGTTTTTTTTTTTTTTTGAATAAATTAGAATTATTTCTAATTAAACAAATATATATCTATATATATATATATATATAAATAGTTTTTCATCTCGTCGAAATTTTACGTAAAACAATTAACATATTTACACGTGGATCTACGAATAACTCATTAAATAAGAGAAACTTAGGATTTTTTTTTTCCTTTTTTTTCTTTTTTTACTTTTTTTCTTTTCACAAAGAACATTATATTCGTGATCGATGAACTTTCGAGATAGGGAAGAAATTTGTATAATATATATATCTTCTTCAACAAACGCAACTACCAACACCTAAACAAGCATACGATACTTGTTCGATTTTAGAATTCGTACTGCTGTCCAATATTGTGGTTTCCGTAGTTGCCGACGGTGGTGGTAACTGTGATCTCTGCGTATCGTCGTAGTTGATCGGTAAGTTCTCTCGTTCTCTACTGATATTCTCTGTTTCTTGATTATACGAGGTTTTAGTTGGTTGTTCTTGAGATCTAACATCAAGGGGATGTTCTAATGTCGATAACCGACCATAGTTAATAAAGGTTTCCGAATAAGCTGAAGTAGCATGATGATGATGATGATGGTGATAGTGGTGGTGGTGATTATCGTATTGCGCTGAGTAATGCGCATGATATCTGGTCGTTGGTGTCTTAAAATCTTCATTAGCACCCAAGTATTGATGTAAATGATGTAAGGTAGATGGTCCATAAACTGTTTTTACATAATAAGTATTCATTACAAGAAGTCATTTTATAGATAATAAATAATGATAAATCATGAAATAACTCATAACAAATTAAAATACATATTAAATACAAACATTTTGATCACCAACCTGCAGCCGTGTTGGAATACATAGCAAGAACAGCATCACCGTAACCGGTTGTTGAATGTTTACCAAGTTCAGTGATGTCACTGGTGGTACACGTCTTTCCTGACACTGTGTGCGTTCTTACCATACTACTATGAACTTCTGTAGTAAGTGCAGAAGATCCTCCGGTACCATAAGCCATATTAAACAAAGCTTCCGGATCGCATACGAATTTATAAACGTATCTTTCTCCAGCAACCTTTTGCATTATTCCCTTTTCATAATAATACCTTAAAGAACGACTTAATTTATCATAATTCATTGCCGGTCGATTTTTTTGAACGCCCCATCTACGTGCTACCTATAATAACGATCACAGATTTAATAAATTGATTGGTACAAAATTATAATACTTAAAAATGTATATTAGAAAATTATTGACCTCTTCCGGTTCGATAAGTTTAAATTCCATGCCACGACCGGTCCAAGCGATGCAAGGTGCATTCGTAGGATCATCCAACAAAGCAACAAGGAATTGCCAAAGCTGAAGAGATCCTCGTCTCTGTTGTTGATATCCAACAGTCACGTCGCTCCAAGTAGTTGTAGCACTAGTCGAAGATGGCCTTTTACTAATATATTCAGAATTCCACGTGGATGATGATGGTGATCCTCGTTTTTGCAAACAATTATTATTCTGTCGTTCCCACGACGAATTTCTCGAATCCACTTGTACCCCTAACTCCGTCCAAGTAGGAGTTATGCTACGTTTACCATAAGCATCGGACGTCCAACTTTCTTGTCGTGGTAAAAAGTTTTCTGATTGAGTTGAAATAGGTGGTTGCCATTGAGATGTAGTGGAAAAAGCACTAGCTGGTCTACTGGGTATCGGTGAACTTCTACTTTCTCGAGTACCAATTGCATATTGTTGTTGCTGTTGTTGTTGTTGTTGTGGTGGTGGTGGTGGTTGCTGTTGTTGTGATTGCTGTTGTTGCTGCTGCTGCTGCTGCTGCTGCTGTTGTTGTTGTGGATAAATCAAACTGTTTACTGTAAAAAGATAAAAAAACCTTGGTTAGAATCTGCTACTAAAAAAATCATATAATCCATTAAGAGTACGTTCCGATAGTTCTTTCATTGTTTCTTTTCCCGTACGTTGTTGATCGTTAACTACGAACGAGAAAGGAAAAAGGAAAAAAAAAAGAAAGAGAGAGAGAGAGAGAGAGAGTGATAGAAAAAGAAAAAGAAGAAGGAAGATCCGTATAGATGGAAAAACGTTCTAGAGGATGGGAAGATAGGAAGACAAAACGTAGAGGAACGTATTGGCGATTGCACTCACGCGCCGTCGGTGGTGAAGTGCTCGTCACACAAATATCGGCAGGAAATTGGTTGATATTCAAAGCCCACGGGGTTGCTCTGGCTTGCTCTGACGAGCAAGCGGATAGCGTTGGCGTCGTGGTACCTCTGAAATCCCGCGTACAGCTCGTGCGATATGTATATTAATCGGGTGCTATGCTCTCGAAGGCTACACCACCATACACCACCACTATCACCATCAACGACTACGCAACCACCAACGTCGTTGCTACCTCCGACTCCGACCCCGACTCCTCCACCTCATTCTCCCCCTTTACTCCGGCACCAACGCTCCCAAAAAAGCCATTCTCGAACCGTAATCCGGTTACGCTTCAAGTCGTGCAGGGGAATATTGAAAAATTGAGAAAGCTTCGATGCCGAGACGTATATTCTCGTTGCTACGATGAAATATCCTGACCTGATCGCTAAGGAACGTTCTCTCGCGTATCTCAACTTTATTTATAAATATGTATAAATAATTGATGAATAACAAATCTATTAATTAATCCTCTCTTTGTTTTTTTGATTTTTGTTCACATTTTAAATCACACTAGTTGATTTAACGTAATAAGTGAAATCACGTTATATCATTCCTCTCGTATCATTATTATTATTATTATTATTATACCACAGAGCCTAACAGAGAGAGAGAGAGAGAGAGAGAATTAACAGGAAGGTTCACGAAAGTCAACTATAACTGGCGTTTTGCTTTACCTGCCAGGGTAAACGTCGGTTGGATCGTGGGTATTCGAAGAGAAGAGCTTTTGGGGGAAGGGAATGGAAGCTCCAGGGCTAATCTACCACTTTGTCTCTCTCTCTCTCTCTTTCTCTCTTGAAAGAGGGTAGGAGAGTGAGGATGGAAAGGGGTTGGTCCTAGGTCGGTGAGAGCGGGACCAGAGGCTTTGCGGGTGGTTTTAAATTAAAATTAATCACGAACTGATGAAACTGGCGGCGTTCTGCTGCTCACTGGGGTAGGTAAAGGGTTGCGAGACGAGGGGTGGTCAGAGGCGGCGCACACGAGGAGGGTTGTTCGCGTAAGAGGACGGCCTACACTCGTCCATTCTCAGAAATGAGAGAAGGTATCGCTCGTTTTCACCCTTATTCACCCTCCCCATTTCCTATTCTCTCTCTCTTGCTCTCTCTCTCTCTCTCTCATTGTCAGTCTCGAATTCCGGCGCTGCGCACTATTAATAATGCAAGCACGATTTTACATCTACTTTTGCTCGCCAAATGGCTTGTCTTGGACCATCTCAACGTGAAATAATTTTTTTTCTTTTTCTTCTTCTTCATTTATTTCCAAGAACGAATAATAACGTCATAATGACGAATATTATCTATTGGATTGGCAAGAAAGTCATTTCGGTTTTCTAGTAGGGAGAAAATAAAATTCAACTGTTCATATTTTTACGTTTATTTAAAATTACACGAAATTTGTTTCTATAGCAATGTTAAAGTGTCAACTATGAAACCTCAAAAAAAAAAAAAAACAAAAAACGATTCTAACATTAACAAAATAATAACGAAACAAACATAATTGTTTCTATTGTGTGATGCAAACCGAAATATTTCTTTCTTGCCAATCAAATATATAATTATCGTAATGTGCATACGCTAGATAACCATTGATAGTTCCTATTCGATATAAATTAAGTAGCTGTAATCGATCTGTATAACATATATGTAAAACTAATCGCAATTCGTGGATACGTAATCCTCAGGAATCGTAAGGATTAATTACTGGGGAACACTGGACAATTGGTATTCATTAACGAGTTATTACTATTCCGTTAATTATTTTGCAAAATACGGATGAGGGATGTTACATATGTTTGTGTAATAATGATATACATGTTATTACACGAAATAAACACTGATTGAATTTGAATGATATCAAAAGATTTTCAATATCTATGATGTTTATTTAATGTTATTATTTATTGTTTTATTTTTATAATTTAGAATTTTAACGGGAATGAAAAAGGCATGCAGCATCGATCAACAACGATAGAAAAGATTCATCCTATTATTAACCGTAAACTACGGTTTAAATAATTGAAATGGTTAATGGGGTAGGGAGAATTAGCCGAAGAGAGGTCGTAGGAAAATTCCCTGGTGACTTGAAAGTAGGTGGGTGAGTATCGCGATACACATCGTTTCGGTTGATAGATATAGTAAACGAGTTCCTAAAGGATTCGTTATACTCCTGTATATGTGTATGTGTATATATATGTGTGTGTGTGGGGGTAAAGACTAATCGTACGGATTACGTAGCATGAGCTTGCAAACCTTGATTTCAACCTTTCATAGTCATCTTCTATAGTAGTCTTGGTTAAACCTTATTTATCACTTTCCATTTTAATCCAATAAATTATTATTATTATTATTATTATTATAAAA